GGGGTGTGCCGAAATGAATGCGGTGCCGCCGTGCCAACGCAGCCACTGGGGCCCTCGGTGGAGCTCCCTATGGGGCCACGGAACGTGTGAGGGGTGTGCCGAAATGGGTGCGGTGCCGCCATGCCAACGCAGCCGCTGGGGCCCTCGGTGGAGCTCCCTATGGGGCCACGAAACGTGTGAGGGGCGTGCTGGGATAGTGGGAGGAGGGATGGGGGGCAGAGGGAGGGGGCAGCGGGAGGAGGGAAGGAAGGAAGGAGAGGAGACGCGGGGCACCGTCTCTGCAAAACGAGGGCCCAACACCACAGCATGGTTGGGAAATATGTTTGAAACAGGGCTTCGCACCGCGGAGTTTCAACAAAAGCGTGCGCGCGCTCTTGCGAATTCTTGGGGAAACCAGCAGTTCTTCAACATATTCATGACATACTACCAAACGGGCTTTGCGCGCGAGCATACCGAAATCGTTCGAACGCCCTTGCGCGCGTGCTGGGGTGCACGATCCGTGTCAAATAACACCATGCGAACCACTCTCGCGCATCTGCCGCGCGCGAATTTCGAATTCCTCCAAAACCTTCATCACCGACGCGCAGACGCCGTCATCGTCGTCGGCGTGATCAGCATCGGCGCCGTCACTAGTTGCCCCGGTGTCGCTGTCTGCATCGTTACTCGCATCGCTACTATCGTCATCGTGTCTACGGTTGTCGACGTTGGCAAGATACCGCGCCCGCCCGAGTCGACGTTTCGCACTGAAGTGCCCGCTGGGATGCGCCGAGCGGTCAGCGCCACCGCGTTCGCGTCGGTCGTGCCAAACTAGCTGGCCGCTGCGCGCGCGAGCACGCGCGGGCTAGCGCGGCCGCAGAGATGCACCAGCCAACGCCCAGCACTCGTCGCAGTCGCTCCCGCCTGGGTTTTGCAAAGCCAGTTGTGGATGGGCGGGTGGGATGATTGCGCGAGCAGTGGAGTTGACAATTTCAAGTCTGGCGCGCGCTTGCACGACGCAGGCTGCGCCAATAGATTGAGCCGCATCTACTCCACCACGTAGATAGCACAATGACGCGACTTAGATTGCGCCGCTCCGATTGCGCCGCATGAATTGCCCACCGCGTCGTTTGCGTCATATAGATTGCATCGCGCCGAATGCACCGTAAGTAAATTGCGCGCCGCATAGATTGCATCAAGTAGACTGCGCCACATCGGTTCCCCTCTCTTAGAAGAAGAGATTCTACTCCCACCACCCCCCGGAGGTTATCAATTCGGCCACGCGTATGCTAATTTTCAGACTGTTCTGCCTCCTGCTTCATTTTCCATGTGAAATCAGACCATCCCATGCGTGCCGCCCCCCCCCCCCCCCCCGCCATCCTTTGCAACGTAGACTTTCCTTGCGCACTCGTTCATCCATAGTCATCAGTTTTCACGAAACCCTTGCAGCGAATTCGACGAGGTGCACGCGCGCGCTGTCGAGCGCGCGTGCCGCAATTCTCTGCAAACTGTAGGTTTCGTAAGGATTTGAACAGCGAGCGCCCAAAACACACATAGAAACAAGTGGCTTCGCACCACGGATTTTCAATAACAGTTGAGCTCACGCTCTTGCGAATTCTTGCGATAATTATTTGTTGTCAAGATTTCCAAAAACAGCTACCGAGCGGGCGGGCTTCGCGCGCGCGTGCCGAAATCGTTCGGGCACCCTTGCACGCGTGCTGTCGCGACAATTCTCTGCAAAAGATAGGGCGAAGTGCGCGCGCGCGGCGCGTCGTCGCGCGCGCGCGCCGAAATCTGCCACAAACCCCAGGTTTCGCAGAGATTTCGAAACCGAGTGCACCGAAACCAAATTACGCCACCGAGGAACCCTACGTAATTATCAAGATAGCTGACGTGAAACTTAAGGGAATAGCGCTAGCGGCCGCTGCTTCGCCGACGCCGCCGGTGGCGCCGGTCAAGCCGTGGGGGCCTGAATGCCCTGAGGGGGCCCGGAAAGGGCACGAATCTGGACGTCGCTGGTCGCCCGCCACTTTGGCCCCGCCAGCTGGCTGGGAAAATCGATGCCCGGGCTCCGCAAAATGGAATGCGCCCAGAGGGGGCCCAGAAAGGGCAGAAGCCTGACGCGACCCAGGGCCCCAGGAGAGCAGGGCGGAGGCCGGGGGGGATATGCCGCGCCTGCAGCGCCCTGGACGACCGTCGCGGCTGGCGGGCGCTCTCAGAGACCACTCCCAGCGCAACCCCCAAGGTGTCGAGAATGTGCCGCGCCCGCTGCGCCCTGGACGACCGTCGCGGATAGCGGCCGCACCCAGGTGCCACCCCTTGCGCAATCCCGATGGTGTCGAGAATATGCCGCGCCCGCTATGCCCTGCCTTCGCTAGCGGGCCTCGGTCGTCGTCTAAAAACGCTTCCCAGTTACGCCACCGGGCGCCGCCTCGTGCCGACGTCGTTCGTCTCAGAGGATCTCGCGTAGAGCGCGTCGGGTCGCCGCGCGTTAGGCTGGCGGCGGTGCGCATTCAAAGCGGACTGCGCCATTCCGTTGGCGCGTCTGCGCGAGGTCTGCACGCTGACCTCGCCGCCATCTGAACCATTGCAGTCTTCGTCGCCAGGCGCGGAGGTGGCGGCGCGCCCGCGGCGAGCGCGGGGGGCATGGCGGTCGCGCGCAGGTAGGGCGGTGCCCTGAGATAGGATTACAAGAGCGCCTGAGTAATAGCACAGGCGCGCCGTGCTGGCTCGAGCCAAGGTGTTCACGAGTCTGGATAAGACGCGAGTTCTCGCCCGCCCCCCCCCCCCCGCCCCGCGCGCAGCTCTCAGGGGTCATGGATGCGCCGCGCCAGTCGCGCCTATGGCGCGCGAGCCAGGTGCCCGGGAAGAGGTCAAGAGCTCCTGGGGCTGCGGAATCAAGCTGGGAAGTGCCGCGCTTGCCGCGCTGTGTCACATGCGCCAGGGCGCTTCGACAGAAAGCCAGGGGCGTGGCCTCAACGACCCTATTTGCTTCCCTTGCGAGCCTGCAACGCACGGCGCCCCCGCCCCCAGCGCGCCCGCTGCGGCCCCGAGGATGCGCCGCGCCTGCCACGCCCTGCGAGCCTGCAACGCATAATGCCCCTCCCAACCCCCCCACCCCCCAAGCGCGCCCCCTGCGGCGCCGAGGAAGCCCGCCGCGCGTTGCAAGCCGGCAACGCATGGCGCACCCGCCCCCAGCACACCCACTGCGGCGCCGAGGAAATGCCGCGCCTGCCGCGCCCTGCGAGCCTGCAGCGCATGACGCCCTCACCCCCAGCGCGCCCCCTGTGGCGTCGAGGAAATATCACGCCTGCCGCGCCCTGCGAGCCCGCAACGCATAGCGCCCGCGCCCCCGTCGCACCACTTGTGGCGTCGAGGAAATGCCCCGCCTGCCACGCGAGCCTGCAGCGCGTGGCGCCCCCGCCCCGGGCGCGCGCCTTCTGCGGCGTCGAGGAAATACAACGCCTGTCATGCCTTGCAAGACCGCAACGCATAGCGCCCCCGCCCCCTGCGCACCACTTGCGGCGTCGAGGAGTGCCGCGCCTACCACGCCCTGCGAGCCTGCAACGCACGGCGCCCCCGCCCCAGCGCAGCCCCGCGTGGCGCCAAGGAAATGCTTCGCCAGCTGCCACGGCCTGCGAGCCTGCAACGCATGGCGCCCCCCCCGCCCCGAACGCGCCCCCTGCGGCGGAGGGCGGGCCGCGCCAGCCGCGCCCTGCGTGCCTGTAGCGCATAGCGCCCGCACCCCCCGCGCACCGCCCGTGGCGTCGAGGAAATGCCGCGCCTGCCACGCCCTGCGAGCCTGCAACGCATAGCGCCCCCACCCCCGGCGCGCCCCCTCCGGCGACGAGGGGGCGCCGCGCCTGCCGCGCCCTGCGAGCCCGCAACGCATGGCGCCCCCGTCCCCTAAGCAGCCACTGCGGCGCCGAGGAAATGCCGCGCCTGCCGCGCCCTGCGAGCCTGCAACGCACGGGGCCCCCGCCTCCAGCACGCCCCCTCTGGCGACGAGGAAATGCCGCGCCTGCCACGCCCTGCGAGCCCGCAACGCATAGCGCCCCCACCCCCAAAGCACCCCCTGTGGCGTCGAGGAAGTTCCACGCCATGCGAGCCCGCAACGCATTGCGCCCCCACCCCCAAACAACCCCTTGTGGCGTCGAGGAAATGCCACGCCTGCCACGCACTGCGAGCCTGCAACGCATGGCGCCCCCACCCCCAGCGCACCCACTGCGGCGTCGAGGATATGCCGCGCCTGCCACGCCTTGCGAGCCTGAAACGCATAGCGCCCTCACCCCCAGCGCGCCCCCTGTGGCGTCGAGGGGATGCCGCGACTGCCGCGCCCTGTGGGCCTGCGACGCATTGCGCTCCCACCCCAAGCGCACCCCCTTTGGCGTCGAGGAAATGCCGCGCCAGCCACACCCTGCGAGCCTGCAGCTCATAGCGCCCCCACCCCCAGCGCACCCCCTGTGGCGCCGAGGAAGTGCCGCTCTGCCCTGCGAATGTTGCGCGTATGTGTTGTGTGGTGCGCGTGTCGTGTGTATGTTGCGTGTGCGGCTGTATCTGGACGTGCCTCTCATGTGTGTGCCCAGTATGTGGCGCACACGTCGTGGGTGTATGATGCAGTGAACAGGCCACCCGTGCACTAGTGTTTTTGTGTTGTCTCATGTGCGTGCCCAGTATTTGTGTTGTGTAAATGCGTTGTATGTGTGCTGTGGGTATATGCGCGGTCAGCGCTAGCGCGAGCGAGCAGGAGAAAGGGAGGTAGGAGGAGGAGACGCGACCGAGACGCTGTGCGTGCGCCGGTGCGTGTGTGTCTGCGGGGATGAGGTGATGAGGGAAGTGCGGTGTGTGTGGGTGTGCGTGTGTGGAAGCGTCGCGGGTGGGACGCGGGAGGGAATAATACCAGAACCTCACCAAGCACGTGGCGAATATAACCGGCGGTTTCGCAACATTAGTTTTCAGAAAAGCTTGCGTTCGCGCTCTTGTGAACCCTTGCGAAGACCATCAAGTGTTCAACCTGTTCATGGAATTGTGCCAAACGGGCCTCTCGTACCGCAAGCCGAAATTACTCGAACGCCCTTGCGCGCGTGCTGTGGGGGGGGGGGGGGGCACGATCCGTGTCAAATCACACCATGCGGCCACTCTCGCGCGTCGGCCGCGCGCGCATGTCGAACTCTTTCCAAAACCTTCATCACCGACGCGAGAACGCCGTCATCTTCGTCGGCGTGATCAGCATCGGCGCCGTCACTGGCCGTGCCGTCGTCGCTGTCAACATCGTCACCAGCATCGCTAGACTCATCGTCGTGTCTACCGCTGTCGACGTTGCCATGGTACTGCGCCCGCCCAAGTCGCCGAATCGCAGCGAAGTGCCCGCTGGGATATGCCCAGCGGTCAGCGCCGCCGCGGCCGCGTCGGCCGCGCCAAACTAGCTGGTTGGTGCGCGCGCGGGCATGCGCGGGCTGGCTTTGCCGCTGAGATGCACCAGCCAGCGCCAAGCACTCATCGCAATCGCCGCCGCGTGGGTTTTGCAAACCAAGTTGCGGGTGGGCGGGCGTGATGTTTGCAAGGGCATGGGATGCGTCAATTCGCTTGTACAAAAGATCAATTGCACCACATAGTGTGCACCACGTGTATTGCACAAAACATATTGGCCCACATTGATTGCACACCACACATTACCAGAAACACAATGGTTGGGATCCGCGTTGGCTAACATAGTTCGCATATGTTTGCAGCCACCGTTGGGTAAGGAACAATTTGCAAAAGTGTGGGTCAGACGTGCAGCGACTTCACTACGAATGAAGGCGTAGCTGATTCTGGCATGCACCACGTGATTGTACACTCGCGACCTCGAAGACTTCGATGCGTACTGCAAGGTCGACAGGACGAGCGCGCATCCTGGTCTGGGGCATGCCCGAGGGCAGCACCCTAGCTTGGAGACGTGGAAATCATGAACACCCCCTCGCGATGAAAGGCTCTGCATGCAGGGGCAGTGCTACGGATCGCGTGCTCGTGCCAGCAGGGGCGTTCGGTCCAGACTCGGGCGTTTTACCTATTCACACCGTGTCTGAGACCGTCGTCTGGTTGCAGTGGCTGTGAATGTTTCCGCTGGCGCCTCGGGAGGAGGTCCACCCACAGTCGTGGCGCATGATTTTTCGTAGTTGCGGCTCGAGGCTGTTTCCAGTTAGTTTTTTTCAGTGCTTCACTTCCCCAGGCCTCTGGCGCAAGACGATGTTCACGACGTTGGCCTTGGCGCTCTCGACCCCACTCCTGGGACTGGCTTTGCGCCGCGGATCGCTGCTTGATGGCCTCTGGGCTTGAACCGGCCCCCCGAAGCTAATGCAGTAGAACGAGCGCCCGCTATGACGTTGCGCCTGCAGGCCTGGGATCTCAAGCTGGCGGGATCCCCGATTTGGGCGACATGCCACCCGACGATTTTCAAGCAGCCGCGCGCTCGTGCGCGCGGACCAGCCTGCTCGCAAAGTGTCAAGGATGCGATCTGGCGCCCGGAGGAGGGCAGGCTATTAGGCAGGAGGAGGACGAAGAGGAAACGGGCGAGGAGGAGGAAGATGAGGAGAAGGAAGAGGAGGAGGAGGATGGGGAAAAGGAGGAGGAAAAGGAGGAAGAGGGGGAGGAGGAGGAGGAGGAGGAGGAGGAGGAGGAGGAGGAGGAGGAGGAGGAGGAGGAGGAGGTGGGAGAGGAAAAGGAAGGGAGGATGATGATGATGATGATGATGATGATGATGATGATGATGATGATGATGATGATGATGATGATGATGATGATGATGATGATGGAGGAGGAGGAGGAGGAGGAGAGGAGGAGCGGAGGCGGAGGAGGAGGAGGAGGAGGAGGAAGATGAAGAGACGGAGGATGAGGAAGGGGCGGTGAGGAGGGGGAGGAAGAGAAGGAGCAGGAGGAGGAGAAGGAGGAAGAGGAGGTGGACGAGGAGACCATGAGGAACATGAGGGAGAGGGAGGAGGATATCGGAAGATGGAGGGGCTTGGAGGGAAAGGTGGATGAGGAGGAAGAGCAGGAGGAGGAGGAGGAGGAGGAGGAGGAGGAGGAGAGGAGGAGGAGGAGGAGGAGGAGGAGGAGGAGGAGGAGGAGGAGGAGGAGGAGGAGGAGGAGGGGGGGGAAGATGAGAAGGGGAACGACGACGGCGAGAACAGGAGGATTGGGAGTAGTGAGAGGGGCCAGGGATCGAGCAAGATCGTCGCAAATTCTGCGCCGTGTTGGCTTGTCCACTACTCGGCCCTGCGCATGGCATGGGTGGACGATGAGTCAGGCGGGCGTGGTGGGATCAAACCCCAACGCGGCGGCGCGCAGAAGGGAGCAGGTCAAGGGGCGGGTCTCATGAAAAACCCAAGGCCTCTCAGAGGGTGCAGGGCGCATGGGCCCCGAGTGGCTGACTCTTCCTGAGAAGCCCTCTGTCTTCTCGCGAGAAGCCTTGCCCCCTCCTGGGCGCCGCCAGCCCTCTCGCGCGCGGCCCGCACCCGACGTCGTACGCACCCATCTCACGAGCGGAGCTCTCGACCCCTTGGTCTGAACCGAGTCTCACGCGAAAAGCAAGAGAGGCTACGCGTTTCGCCCCCTGGGGGCGGGGCAAACTGCCTACGGTGCAACATTGAACCAGCATTGTCGACGATGGGACCGGCGGCGGAGCGGGGCTGCTCCTCATCCGGCTCGATGTCCGTGAGGGCCCGGGGCCCGAACATGGGAAGGAACGACTGCCGCTTGTCTGGCTCACGACTTCACCTAGCAGCACTCTCGCTTGGGCTGCGGGCGCGGTGCGCATGCGTCTCCGCTGAGCCTAACACCATCTGTTTTGCTCGCGACGCCTGGGACGAGAGTGGGAGCCGAGGCGGGCATGAGCGGTGTGAATTCGACGCGAGCGAGGCTTGTCAAGTACTCTAGACCTTCCAGATGGGGTCCAAGCAGATGGGGTCGAACGATCGCGTCGCACCCACGCCGACGGCGCCGATGCATTGCCCACGTCGCCGATACATCGGCGATGCGTTGGCGATGCAGCGCGATCCTCCGACCCCATCTGCAGCCAAGATGCTGAACTCAGGGCCACTTTGGACTTTGGGCTCGGAAGGGGCTCCATTTTCTGGGCCGTGCCTTAGAGCTATGTCGAGGCACCCACTCGTGGCCGAAGCTCGCCGCGGCCAGGAGAGCCCACCCGTTTCTTGCTCTGCGCTCTTGATGCACGCTTGCTGCACCTGGACCCCGTCCGGGAGGCCTCGAAGTACAGAGTCGCTTCGGTCGCTCGCACCCGCCCCTCCCTGCGACGCCCTCGGCTCCCGCGGCCCGTGGCCCCGCCCAGTGCGGCGTGCTGGGAGCGGGAGAAGGGGCCGCTGCCGGGTCTCCTCGGCCACAGGCACGAATGACCCCTCGTCGTAGTGACCTTCGGGGCGTGGCCCCAGGGGGTGCCCAGAGCGAATGGCCCTTCATCGGAGTGACCTTTGGGTGTGGCCCCCGCTGGGGCTCCCAGGTCCCTCGCGCTCGCGAGCGCCCTTCCTTGAGACGCTCTGGACTCCCACGGCGTCTGACCCTGCCCGCTGCGCGTCGCTGCGGCGGGAAGAAAGGAGGGCTGCTGCTCGCCCTCCCTTGGGCTCCTGCTCCTGGTCCTGGGCTCCTCGTCGTCGTCGTCGTCCTATCCCTCCCCCCTCCTCCCCCCTTCGTCCTCGTTGATTTGTCGTCCTCCTCCTTGTTCCTTCCCTCTGTCTCCTCCTCCTCCTTCTCCTCCTCCTTCTCTTTCCTGCTCCCTCTCCGAGTTCCTCTGCTTGACCATGCAGGATCAGTACGATCACGCCCAAGAAGGCGCACCGTAAATTGTGGTGCTGGCGGAGGTGATGGCCGTGTATGTCCGAGAGCGCGCGCGCGTGCTGGACGCGGGCGCCGTGGTGGAGGCTGATGGTTGCACCATCGGGGGGTGCCAGTGCTAGCCGTGACGATGCTCGCGGGACTCTTCGTAGGATGACGGTGCGAGCGAGGATGCCGTCGAGGAGGCGGACAGGATGGTCGAGGGGTGGGGAGACCTGCGTCGGTCCGCTGACATGTGGGAGACTGTGGATGCTGGTCGAGTGGACGAGTGACACCTGTATTGGCGCGGGCGCATGTCGAGTCAGAAACTCTGGCGCCCTGCTTCGGGTGCGCCTGTGCCGTTCGGTGTAGCTTGGCCCCGCGGGCCTGGAAAGAGAGTTCCAACGGGCTCCTCTGCTCCTCCTTCTCTTGCCTTTTCTCCTGCGCCCCTTCCTTGTCCTCGCACTACCATTTCCAGTCGCCCCCCGACCCCAAAAGAGAGAAAACCCTGGGTCTGTGAAGGACCACCTGCGCTGCGCCGCTTTGGAACTGTTCTCCTGCTTCCCATGTTCAGCTCCTGATCCAATCACTGCGGCAAGTATTGCGGGCCAGCAGGGAGTGCTCCCATCAATGCAAGAACAGGGGGTACATGTTCGTCGAAGGTTCCAGGTTTGCCCGGGAGGCATAGCCAATTGTTGAAACGCTATCGTGTTAGAGCATCGCTGGGGCCTTATGGACTATTCGGACGATGATGAGTAGGCGGATGATAAAGAGGACGAGTCAGGAGTAACATGGAGCAGTTGTAGGTCGAGAAGGCGGGGGACGAGGAACAGGGGATGAGGAGGATGAGGAGGAGGACAGGGTCGAGGAGGAGTAGGAACCTTATACTGACGAGGAGTAGAAGGATGAGGGGTGTGGGGGAGGAACATGGGGAAGTAGCTGAAGTAGGAGGAAGATAAGTACTAGGAGGGACGAGGGAGGTCATCAGGAGCAGCAGCAGCAGCAGAAGGCCAGATCTCACGACCTCTACCTGTTTAGCCACCCTGCGTTTGCCTGTTTTGCTGGTGGTGCCAAGATCGCGTGGGACCAGATCACAAGTCGGGCAAACTGTTGGACTCGGTTGGTGTGATGGCGCTCGAGTTTTTGGATGTGTCGAGCAGTCGGTGAACGAAACAAGTCATACGCCGTACGCTTTTGGACCCATGTTTGGCCCAGGTGCGTTCGAGAATGTTGAAATCAAGAAGTCCAGCCCCAGAGGCGGAGCAACGCATACGCATACGACAAGGAATCTTGTTTCATTGAGGAGATGTAGGGGCATGTTCCCCCCGATCTTCAAACTTGCCAGGAGCCCCAGGACTCCACGGGTTTCTCGGGGCCACCAGGGAACATAACGTTTCCGTGGAGCGCCCGCTGGCAGGACGGCCTCTCATTTGATGCGCCCACCGCAGAAAAGCTGGGTCAGCCCGCCGCCGCAGAAACGGGGACGATGATGATGACGGCGAGTGGCGACGGCGACGGTGAACGGTGAACAGCGACGGCGACGACGATGGCGACCCGCGACGGCCGCGGGAGGTTCCTGGAGGCATCCAGAAGCCTGCGCAGGTCCCCAGTGGTCCCTGGAGGCCCCGGAGGCTCTAGAGGCTCCCGCAGGCAGAAGGAGCCGAACCACCCAAAAGGACCCAACTATATATGCAGTTGCGAGTAGCGCAAGACAGCTGCTTAGGAGGGGGCTTGGCGAGCAAGATGGTCAGGACGTCGATGAGAAGGACGAGGCTGAATCATAGCAGGGAGGTCTAGAGCGATAGATGAAGTAGAGAAACGATGGGGCTCCCTATGGGATCACCGTCTGAGGGGTATGCGCGGCAACTCCGTGCGAGCCGTTTCACTGAGACCTTCGGTGGAGCTCCTCATGGGGCCACGACGCGTGTAAAGGGTGTGCCAACACGGGGCGGGGTGCCAATGAGGCCTTCGGTGTAGTTCTTTGTTGGACTACGGAGCGCGTCGAGGATGTGCCGAAATTGGGCGGAGCAGCATGCGAACACACCTCTTGGGGCATTAGGTTATATCCATATGGTGCTACGAAACGTGTGAGAGGTTTGCCGAAATGAGCGGGATGGTGCCATGCGGACCTTGCCACTTGGGTCGTCGGTGTAGCTCCTCATGGGGGCCGCGAAACGTGCTAGGGGTGACGAAATCGACGGTGTGGGGCCATGCGGACCCTGTCGCAGGGGCCTTCGGTGGAGCTCCCGATTGGGCCGCCCACGAAATGCTTGAGGGGTGTGCCGAAATGGGCGGGGTGGCGCCATGCGGACCTATGCGCGGAGCTTTCTGTTGGCCCGCGACACGTGTGAGGCCCTGCCTTGGGGCATTCCCTGGAGCTCGCGACACGTGTGAGGGGTGTGCTGGAATGGGCGGGGTGGCGCACCCTGCCATTGGAGCCCTGGGTGCAGCATTTCACTGGGGCCAAGAAGCTCGCGAGAGGTTTGCCGACATGGGGTCGCGGTCGCCATGCGGTCGCACCCGCTGAGAGACCGGAAGTGGAAGTGGAGCTCCCTAAGGGGGCGCTCAGAGAGAAGTTTGGAGCCGCCATGCGGTCGCGCCGACTGAGACCGTCTCTTGATCCACCTCTGGGGGTACGAACCGTCTGACGGGTGTGCCGAAATGAGCTCGGGGACGCAATGCGGTCGCGCCCCAAAGCCCTCGAACTGGCACGACGCGTGGGGAGTGTGCCGAAGTGGACTCGGGGACGCCATGCGGTCGCACTCGCTGAGACCAGAAGTGGAGCTCTCGTGGGCCACGAAACGTGTGAGGGGTGTGCCGCAATTGGCGCGAGGACGCCATGTGGTCGCGCCCATCGATATCTCAGGTGGAGCTCCCTAATGGGCACGAAACGTGGCAGGGGTGTGGCGAAGTGGACCCGTGCGGAGAGCAGATGCAAGGACGGGAGGGGGAGGCGGGAGGAGGTGGGAAGCGGGGATGTTGCGGATTCAAAACGAGAGCCCAACACTGGGCACTCAATCCCCGAACCTCGAGGATGGACAATGAGGACGACGGCGCGCTTCGGGCGTGCCCACCGGCAGCAGCAGCAGGCCTCCTGCGCAGCTCGGGTCGGTCGGCGGTTTCCGAGGCCAGAGTTTGTACATGTTGGTGTACTGTCTCTCCCTGGGGCCTGAGAGCATGATCCATGTCCTCTGCCTCATGTAGCCGCAGGACATCCGTTCCCGCGGCGGTGGATGTGAATTTCAAATCCGATGTATCGATTGTGCTTTTGCCAACGCAAACTCCCTGGAAGTCCCGACCCTTCCCCCACGAGCCGGTCTCTGACGGCCCCCGGAACCGGCAATGGCCCGCCCCTCCGGAGGCCGAAAACGGCGAAACGCCTCCGCATTCCTTGTCTCCCGGCCTCCAAGATGGGGTCCGAGTAGATGGGGTCGGAAGATCGAACCGCATCGTCGATGCTTCAGCGATGCGGCTTGATGTGGAGCCCGATATTCTCTGCACGGACGTCGCCGATGCATCGGCGATGCGGCGAGATTCGCCAACCCTGAGAAGAGCTTTTCGTCGTGGGCCGCTTCTTCGGCCCTGGGCCCCAGAGCGAGCCTCAAGGGGCCCGAACCTGGAAAAGACTGGCCGCTGCGTTTCCTCAGGACGCCGGAGGTCATCTGGGTCCTCCTCTCACAACGCTGGCTGGATCCTCCTCTCCACGCTCGGACCTCATCTGGGAGGCCTCTCATACGAAGTCTGGCCTCGGAAGAACAGGGCCCCTTCGTAGCTCGAGTTGGACGGGGCTAGGAAGAGGATAAATCCGTTCCAGAGCATTCCAGAACGCTCTCAGAGCGTTCTGGAACGCCCTGAGAAGGCCGCGACGCCCAACACATCCTCCAGAACCGCTGGATCTCAGAGATTCTCGTTTTATCCTCACCCCAATCGATCCTCGTCCTGGCTCCGTCTTGCGCCCCCGGCGGCCGGCCGCCCAATCTCGGCGGGGCCCCCCGCGCCTTGGCCTGCCATGGCGCTGGCGCGGCGCGGTGCGGCCGCCCTGCTGGCGCTGGCGCGCGCCTCGCCGCGCGGCTCGGGCTGCCCGAGGAAGCACCCGCTCGTCGTCGTCGTCGTCGCCGTCGTCGTCGTCGTCGTCGCCGTCGCCGTGGTCGTCGTCGTCGTCGTCACCGTCGTCGTCGCTGTCGTCGTCGTCGTCGCCGTCGCCGTTGTCGTCGTCGACGTCGCCGTGGTCAGTCAGAGGAGGAAGAGATACCGCAACCACTACCCTTCCCTCGTCGCCACGGCTGGGTTCTCCTCGAATTCCGATCAGAGTGCATCCCTGGAGAGGTGCGGGGAGTAGTGGGTCGGGCCCGGCCTGCAGGGTGACCACGGGGATGTCGATGACATCGTCGACGACGACGACGACGACGGCGAGTACCAGTAGGTCGTCGACGCCGACGTCATGCCGATGACGGGAATGACAAGCAGTCGTTGACTGAGCGCACATAGAGGCACCGGTACCATTAGACGCCTCCGTGAGATCCAGACTCTCCCGGGGCCCTGGTTCTGCACACGCTCACCAGGTCGGGAGCGGGGTAGGGTCCAGTCTTTGCGGTAGGTGGTCGACATATTCGTCGTCTTCGCCGTCGACGTCTTCGACATCGTCTTCGTCTCTGTGGTGGTGATCGTCGTCGTCACTATCGTCATAGTGGACCTTGTTGTAATCGTCGTGGTCATCGTCTTCTTTGTCGTATCGCGAGCCTACGAATCACCCGAGCGCCTCTACGCTTTGATCCAGCTGAGGTCGCCCTTGTGGCGGTATCTTGCGAGCCCTCGAGCCTTGCCATGCCAGGTTCCAAGTGCCCCCTTCGTAGGGGGACAATTCGAGAGCGCTGCTATCGGCTGTATCAGGTGCGTCCTGATTCAAGAGGAGACGTGGCATCTATACAATGCGGTCGGACCGAGGTATAAGATCGAGGTCGGTTCGGGGAGAGTGCCCTATGTTGTTCGTGT